ACTAGGATACTTCTTATAAATAAAGACCAGACGTACCATTATCCTCATGTTTATTTCTTCCCTTGAGATAATGTAAGTTGAAGCTTACCAGTGAAATTGAACATCTTCTGCCACATAAGCATACAACCATTATCATTGTTCTTAAGCAGACAGTTGATATATTCTTGTTTTACAACGTAAATAAGAGATTGAAGCTGTTTAAAAATGTTCTGGCTGTTTTACTTGCTCGTGTTTGTAAATACATTGCACCTTTAAACTTGAGCTTATGGTTTTGTTTGCATTCACTTGTGGATAGATGATGGGGAAGGCCAATCGAGAGAGGCTGGCAGAATACCTGGGTGAGATTCAGCGGAAAGAAGACACAAATGACCGATATGTAGCTGCACTAAGAGGAGAGACATTGACTAGAAACCCCTATGTGAGGATTCAACCAATCCCGAAGCCAACCAACAATGAAGCTCCCAAGGAATCAAAGCCATGATATGATTGATAGATAGGTGATCAAGGTTTGAATGTCGTCTCCTGGTGTATGATCTTATAATCTTTGTATTACTGACAACAAATCGAAGAACTTGTTGGATTAACGCTCATTGGTGACGTCAATTTTACCTTAAAAGTGTCACAAATTCATGGTTGGATCTTTGGGACGAAGAACTATATATTTTTTCTTCCAGAAGTTAGTTCAACTTTGGTGATATACCGTTTTGGTAGTTGACTGTTTTTGTATTTTTTAAATTTTTTTGGCACAGTGAAAAGGAGAAATTATATTAATAAAAGGAATTAAGAATACGATCTGGAGTATTCTCCTTCAAAATACCCAAATCATGAGAACAAACCAGAGATGTGGTTTCAAACCCCGCCACTGCTCTCATCACGCTTTTGAGAAGAATTGTTAGATTTTTGCTGAAAAAGTGTTATATTATACCAAAAAAAAGAAAATGAAATATGGCCCCCCATACGGGCACAAGGTGATGATTCAATGCATACCATTGCAAAGCATGTATTTTGGTAAGTGTTTGGCATCGGTGCTGCGAATATTGCACTGTTTTCTCGTAAAAATGGTGTTGGACATGTGGAGTTGTAAGTATCATTTTGGCATTTTCTGAGAAAACAGCATTGGTTTTATTTGGTATCAGTGCTGATAGCAATGTTTTCAACATTGATCTATATTATTCAGCGTCTAGAATGATGCCACATCATTGCACTGCTGCAACAACGTGCCTTTTTCTCAGAAAACATTGAATTTGAAGTTTCTCCAGTCACTTTCTCGGATTTCCAAGGCATGGTCTAAAACTCTAAAAAAACTGTACCAAACAAGAAGGCATTATTTGAAACACTGCTTTCTCCAATGTGGTGCCTACAACGGCATCAATGTGAAACACCCACTTGGTCAACCTTATGAGTGACAGTCCATAGCGAAGCATACCCCATCCCTCTGATCCCAATTCTCCTGACCATCCTACAACAAGCCCAAACCAAATCAACCTCAATATAGGTGATCCATCCACAGTCTCTTCAGTCACACCCAAAACTATCATCAAGCCAAAGAGAGGATTTTACCGGTAAACAAATTTGCTAGCAACCTCAACGTAAAAAGCTGTATTCGTGGATATGTATTACCAGCCCAAAATTTCTTCCAGTTCAGCAACGGACCCGACCCTATTTTTCTCCACGGCTCCTCCACTGGAGTTCTATAACCACTCTTCACCGTGTATATTCCCATCCTGTCAACTACCCAAATCAATGCATCCACATTTCCAGGTTGAGAGTATAATCGAATTCTTTCAATTGCTTTAACAATCTCCGTATCAAACAATGACTCTAGCAACTCCCAATTCCAGCCCAGTCCGGATTTACTCCTCAGAGTGCATTTCACACCAATTTCACAATACTTGTGGTCACACTTTGGGAACATCTCTCTACTTGTATTGTCATTCATGGAGAGATATAAGGTATTTGTAATGTATAACTGCAATATGATGTGAGGTTGGCATTAGACGTGTTATGTGAGGAGCAAATCTGAATTTAATTCCACCACCCACAATCATCACCCCTGAGCAGGTCGTGAACAAAATACACCCCTTACATTAAACATCAGCTTACACCCCTTCCAATACACCAACAAATACCCTTCTTTAATGATGGAATACTTTTACAAATGCCCTTCCAAATTCATTTCCAATACCCTGTACCACGTGAATTAGACACAAGGTTCAAAGTATCCAAAACATAAATCTATATCTATACTATTATTAAAAGTGTGAATGATAGTGTGAAACTTTTACTTGACTAAAATACCCCAACTTTTTAATTTGATCCCTCTCTAATTGTAAGGATAAAAATGTAATTTGAACTATAACATTTTTCATCATTTAAATCCCTCTCATTAATTCTTATATTTAGGAAATTAACTCCAATTCTTTCATTGAATCCTATATTAATTAACCATATTAAAGGAAAGATAAATTACGTAAACTGCCTTTGAAGTTTTTGACTATTGCTGAAATCCCGGCCGAAGTTTGGTAATGGCAATCACCTCCCCTGTACTTTCTGACACAATTACTAGTAGACCCCCTTAGAATCCTCTAGTAAGAGGTACAAAAATGCAGTTGCTTTTTACCAGACTGTTTACTTTTCTGATTTTCTCTTCATATCAATCTGCACAAGCCCTTTCAATCTCTTTTCTGAACATGATTTATTTTTCAAACTCTCATCATATCAATTGTTCAATGGTAAAGCCATAGCTTTAAACTCTCTTTTTTAGTTGTTCATACAGTTTGTATTGTTTTTTTTTCTATAAAAATCAATCTTAATAGTAATTGTAGGGCATTTTGGATATTTTTGCACCCTTTGTTAAAAGATTTTAACAGAGGGGGTCTACTTGCAACTGTGTTAGAAAGTTTGGGGGAGGTGATGCAATTACCAAATTTCAAACAATGTTTCAATGGTCAAAACTTCAAGGGTGGTTTTGACAATTTATCCTAAAAAAAGGCCTACTTGGTTTGTGGGAATAGGGGAATGGAATTAGAATCAAAATGGGTCATTCCAATCTTAATTGTTTGGTTGGGTAGAATCACAATCCTGTAATCCCATTCCCATTCTTGGTGAAATGGCATTCCCCCATTGGAGGGAATGAACCAAACACACTATGGGAATAGACCATTCCGATTCTGGTTCTAACAGATTTTGATTTCAATTTCAATTTTGTCTATGAACCAAACAAACTCTAAGTGTAACAAAGAATTATTAATTTCATTGATGATAGAAGTAAAATACAAATTTAAAACCAACACAAAAATGGAGTTGTTTTTGTATTCAAGGGTGAGCCAACAATTCAACCTTTTGGGTCAAATGTATCAACACTAACACTATATATCTTAATTAAATAATAATAAAAATAAAAAAAAGATGAAAACACACAAAAGTGTAAAAAATATAGAATCTTTTTTTTTTGAAACAACCCCTAGGTTAAATACATTGCACCAAATCTTCTTCCAGTACAGGAATAAGAAAATTAGGAGGTAAGGACCAAGTAGTGATCCTACACACATGACAAAGCAAATTTTGCAATTACATGGACAGCCCTATTACCTGTACGAGGGATAAAGGAGATTAAAACATAATGAAATTCTTGCAAAAGATTTCTGCGATCAGCAATAACTGTATGAAGTTGCCAAGGGACATCTTAAGCGGCATCCAACAGGATATCTGTTATCTTTTGTACATCTCCTTCAATGTGAATATGAGAGAGGTGGAGTTCCTTCGCCATTTGGAGTCCAGCTCTGAAAGCTTGCGCCTCAGTAATGTCAAGATTTGTCCTTTCCATACAAATGACTCTACTAAATACAAAACTTCCAGTGTGATCTCTCAAGATAATGCCAAGCCAAGAAAAAGAATCTGAATTTGCACCATCGACATTAGTCTTTAAGAATCTGTATTTGAAGAAAACATTTGAGTTCATCTCTAATATCATATATTCATCATATTAAAGAAAAGTAATTGTGACATATAAGAATAATTTTTATGGGCATAGAAATAATAAAAGTTGTACAATATTTTGAAAATATATTATTTGATATCATTATTATCATGAAAAATTGACACGTGCATGCTTATTAGTAGTATCTGAAATGTAAATTCCAAGGAAATACATGGATATAGTAATGAAACTCAAATAAATTCCAAATGATCAATAATACTAACTTAAGTTTTAGATGACTATAAATGAGTTATACACACCTGATAAATACATATCTCTATAGTTTTTATTAGCTTATGTGAAGTGTAAACTATGGGACAGTTGGTAAATGTTGAAATTTGATAAAAAAATTGAAATATGTATATATGATCTTAGTTTTCAAGCAATCACTATAATTTGTGTTAATATTTAAAAATATACAGATTTTAATAATCAATTTTTATCATTTACTAATGATCATTCATTAAGGAGATAACTAATGAATTCTCATAATTTTCACTACTGAAGTTTTCAAACTGAAATCATCAAGTGATTGGCACATCACTTTAGCCACATACAGGACAATCATTATATAATCAAATTTAATTATCATAACTTTCATCAAAATTAAAACAAGTATCCACTTTATGGGTAGAGTGATTGGCATTACTCAGAAATTGTTATGAGTAATGCTATAATTCGAGACAGATGGGCTCCGCGACACGGAAGATGTTCCCAATGTATGGGGCGGGGGATGAGCTGTGAGGGTTTTTCATAGCTTGAATTCGGATCTGTTTCTCACAAAGCGCGTTTCACACCGATCTCACAACCACTTGGGAGCATTTACCCATACAAATACTGAAGATATTCCTTATATGTGGCTAGAATATGCTGTGAAGAGACTCCCATAGCTTCTGCTGTCCACAGGATTTTCCACGTTAGTTCTTAATGCTGACAGCTGTCTTGGATCACCTTATACATGATGAATCCCACATATATAATAGGTCCTGAGATAATGAGATGTGCAATGTTAGATCAAATTAGTCCTGCTAGCGTGGCTAACAGAAAGCCTATTGGAAGTACAAGCTGTCAGATGTGAACGGTCAAAGTTTTCTCGTTGAGCCATAGGCTTGAGAGACGCTCCGCCTTACACCGATCTGACACGCACATCCTATCATGCACATCCTACACGATTCACACAGACCGGATGTGCCTGTGAGGCGCCCCTGTGTGAGGAGCAGATTCCGTTCCTTACCAGACATATTATTGCAACTTTTTGCCGCGATTCATTCTCCGGCTTCGTTTCGTTTGAACAGCTTATTGCCGCGAAACGCTTAGGGTTGTGTTTTTAATCCGACTGTATTTCTAGCCCTAAAATCTCCCCCTTCCCCTTAGTCTCTCTCTCTCTCTGCGCAACCTGACATTGAAAGCTCGAAGACAAGCTTTTGTCATCGTTCAGAGATGCCTCAAGGTTATCAATTTTATTAGTTTGAAGTTGAAAGAGTAGCTTCTTTACTTTTTTGTATTCATTAAGTGTATTTGATTACTCTGCAGAGCTTCCTGGTTTCTATTATGACCCGGAGAAAAACAGATACTTCCCTATCAAAGGTCCTATACCTGGTTCCAGTCGTTATCCATCCTCATCATCAACAACAATATCGAATTCTCAAATACCATCTTCCAAGTCCAACGAGGTAAGCTCACGACACTGTTCTCATCCTCCTTAACGAGGTAAGCTCGGATGAATCAAGGATGATTGAATTGTCCAAATTCCATTTAATAGGCAATCAGGAGTTAATAAAGGACCCATCTTCATTTTAAAAGAACGTAACATAATACATGTAAGTGGTAAATCAATTAGTTTGGTTGTGTCTTAATGGTTAAGATGAAGAATGAAAAGTTAGGAGGGAGAATTACCCTAATAAGAGCTACCTTGGCTAACTTACCTACCTATTTTTTGTCTGTTTTTAGGATACCAGTTAGGGAATCTAGGAAATTGGAGAAGTTGATGAGAAATTTCTTATGGGAGCCGGGACAAGAAAAAAATGACCACTTGGTTAATTGGGAAATTGTGTGCAGAAGTAAAGAAGGGGGGGTTTGGGACTAGGGAGGGTAACTAGAAAAAATCAAGCCCTGTTAGGGAAATGGTTGTGGCGATGACCATTGGAAAGAGAGAGATTGTGGCATGAGGTGGTGGGAAGCATTCATGSGAGGCCAGAGAATGGATGGGATGCTGGTGTATCAAGGCAAGCTAACCTAGCAGCACCTTGGAAGGCCATTCACAACACCCTTCCTCAATTCCTCAATTTTATCAGGTATGAAGTTTGTTCTGGCAACACTGTTCATTTTTGGGAGGATATTTGGGTAGGAGACACACCTTTAAAGGATCTGTTCCCTTCGCTATTTTTTTGTTTCTTTGTATAAAAAAGAGGTGGTCTCAAAATTTGTCTCACCTTTGGGAACACCCTTAGATCCTACTTGGGATTTTGGGTTTCGTAGAGGACTTAGGGATGATGAAATTGAATCTCTTTCTGTTTTGTTTGGTTGTCTTAATCAGGTTTGTTTGGATCCCTCCAAGCCAGATAAGAGAGTATGGACTCCTAGACCCAATGGAACCTTCACTTGTGCTTCTTTCTTCAAGTCCATCTCTCAACTTTCTACTCACCAACCCTTTCCGTCAAAAGAAATTTGGTGCAGGCCAGTTCCCCAAAAAATTATGGCGTTTTGGTGGGAAGTATTCCATGGGAAAGTAAACACTCTAGATAACCTACAAAAGAGAAGACCTTTCCTCTGTATCTCTCCTAATTGGTGTATCATCTGTAGAGCTCACGGTGAGGATTGTTACCACCTATTAATATCTTGTCCCTTTTTTGCAGACCTTTGGGCTTGGCTACTTTCGTTGTTTGGGAGTAGTTGGAGTCTACCATCAGAAATTCATATGCTCTTCAACCATTCTACCTTTTATTGGCCTACAACAATAGGGAGAATTATGTGGAGATGTGCTTGTGTTGCCTTGACTTGGACTCTTTGGGAAGAAAGGAATATTAGAATTTTTCAAGAGAAGGAAATGAGCAGTCAGGAATTGAAAGACTGTGTGTTAAATAGGGCAATACCTTGG